CCTCCACCTATTAGCACAAGGTATAAAACTGTCTACTTCTGATTTAAAGTCTGCTCATCATTTGTGTGGAATGCACAGAAATGTCTTTCAGGTCTTGGAAGGTGGGCATAGGAAGAAAAGTGAACACAGGACTCAGGGTTATGGTGGCAATATAATTATAGTCAAATGCAAAGTTAAGATTTGCCATCAAGTGCTATTTTCTGCCCTGTCTTTCCTCCATCCCAGTCTATTACCTTGTACTGCTGGGCAATCTCCTCAATGAGGAATGTCTGGTGACCACGGTGCTCTTGGGACCGCTCGCAAAGCCAGCAAATGATCTTCCCATCCTCCTGGCAGAAGAGCAGGAGTTTCTCTCCATGGCGCACACAGAGATCACACTTTTGCTCCTCCTCTGGGCTCAACTTGACCTCCCTGAGCACCTCCACAATGTTAGCCAAATGCAGACTAGACCGCATGTTCTCAGGCTGGTAACTGATCCTGCACACGGGGCAGCTGCTCTCTCCTTGGCCATTCACGGACTCCTTGTTGTTTGCAGTGATGCAGGCTTGGCAGAAGCTGTGCCCACAGTCCAGGCTCATGGGTTCTGTTAGGATCCCCAGGCAGATGGGGCAGGTCATCACCTCCTTTATGTTCACCAGGATTCCTGAAGCCATCGTAGCTGGTCCCTGTTCCTTCCTACCTGTTCTGAACTGAGGCTCCTCTTGTTCACTGATCTCTGCCTGATTGGAAAGGTTAAAACGGGGTAGAGTAAGAACAGTGGGAATAAATATTGTTAATTGTATAGAAATCAAAGACAGGGAAAGAACAAATATAGGGACATAAAAGAAGAGGTAGAGAGACAGAGAAAGGATCACGGTGACCTGGCAATTGTAAATACTTTAGTTAATTTAACATGACACATTTCATTTCTTTCTGTGCAATGGTTGTTACTGATCTTTACTTTTACTGAACAAAAGTATAGTTTGAGGTCCTTTATACAAAGAAAAGATGTTTGCGTGACCCAACATCTCTCCTTCTTCTTCTTTCCTTTGCCAAGCACATCCTCAATAATAAACGCACCAAACCACTTTTGGGTCTGGGCTTTTACACCCACTCTTCTCTCAGCAGGCAATGCTGCCCCTGGTATCAGTAAAATTCATTCTCATACTTCAGTTAACAATCTCCTTCCATGTTCCTTTATCAGAAAGATCTGCTCTGACTTGCTTATTTACAGTGTAACGATTGCCATCATTTTCTGTGTGTTTAGAAATATTTCTCTTATTATTTTGACATGATATGTGACACTGTGTGTACCTGGCAAGAGCAAACCCTTTATCAGATCTGTACATAGAGATAGTAAGTGACTTACAAGGATCTTATCTTCAATACACAGAGTTTCAGTGAACCTACTATGTTCAAGGTCCCCATCAGGGGTCTGTTCCTACATTATTGAGTTAATCAAAGGTGAAACAAGTAACATAGGAATTCTGAGGATTCTTGTGTTGATAAATGGTAACATTTCACATTTTCCTGGAAATTTGCCAATGACATTGATAGGAGCCTCATAGTGTGTATGTATGTTGATGGTAAAGAAAGATAGGATAAATATACGTTAGAATTATGCAAGTAACATATCTGAAAAATTAGAAATTCAGATGAAATAGATATCAGTCTTTGGAAAGAAATCTCAAAATATTAGGCAAGGTCATTTAACTAATTTTTCTTTTTTTAATATATGTTTTTATTGATTTTAGAGAAGAAGGAAGAGGGAGACAGGAACATCAGTGATAAGAAAGAATTATTGATAGGCTTCCTCCAGCAAGTCCCACACTGGGGATCGAACCTGCAATCTGGGCATGTGTCCTGACGGGGAATGGAACCATGACCTCCTTGTTCATAGATCAATACTCAACTACTGAGCAACACTGGCTGGGCTCAACTAATTTTTCATCACTACAAATTACATGCTAATACTAATACCCAGAAACACAAAAAATGAGTCTGAACAGAGAGTTCAAACCACTATGACCCTGACATTCACTTGCAAAGTACAGCAAATTATATGCAAGCTGATGTGACAAACAATAATAGAGAAATGTGTGTGTTAGGAAATCAAATAATGGGGACAGGTAAAGAGCTATCCAGAAATTCTAACTTGAAAACATAAAGGTTAAACCAGAAGATGAATATTATGGAAATATGGCATATGGGGGAGAAAAAAAACTATCAGGTAAAGGAAATGACCTGTTCATTGAAGACACACCACCTTGTCTGATTTTGAAAATGCCAATGTCGCTGGTGTGAGAAAACTGCTAGGCCTTTGGTATCACATGAGCCTGTAGTGATAATGACATATGGCCCTTTGACAATTCACCAATTTTCTAACATTTCAGACACTTTTCCAAGAGTAAAAGGAATGATCAGTGTTGGGCTATGGAATATTAGATAGATTCAGTAGAATTGAGAGGATGAGTAGGATATATGCACAATTTCCCAGGAGACATGATGATAGCTTTCAGGACAAGGAGGTGAGGGAATGGGGAGCAGGGGGTAAGAGTGAAACATAGAACTAGGTAAGAAAAAAAGACTGGCAGTTCTATTATATACTTTGTAACAAAAGGGCAACATCAAGCCTGGGCTCTTTCTTCCCATAGAGGTAATATTGGCTAATTCTTCTAATAAGTTGGCTTTTTGTTTTTGTTTCTGGAGAATTCATGAGGCTACAATAAAGTGGAGGGTCAGCTGCCTTCAAGGCCACATTGTTGATAGCAGAATTAGACTGATGTGGAAAGTGCATTGGACTAGGAGGACTTCCTATGGACCTCAAGTGCCAGATAACAAGCTTAGACTTCATTTTCCATAAGGGGATTGTGACATTTTAGCCACCTGTGTCTATTTTAGTCTCTTGGACATTGTGCTTACTGGCTTTCACAACATAATTTGCACTCTAGCTCTAGGCTTACATACCTTTGTTGATTTCTCACACATCCTCTAAGTCTGGCTTCTCAAAAGGCTGAGAGATAACAGGAATGAAGTACTTTCTATAGCATTGAGAAGATCATCACTAATAGCTCAGCTAAGGTAGCCAATGTCGGCATGCCCAGTCTCCTGTCCTGTATCTCCAGCTCAGCTAAGTGACCCTGGCAGGTAACTACCAGGTCACATAGATGGTCATGACCATTTAAATTAGAAAGGATGCTGGTGGTCTGTTAGGGAAGGTATTATAGAGTGGTGACACAGTGTTGCTCATTCTCCCACCTGGACTCAATATGGCCCTGTGGCTACAGTTTAGGCTCAGGATTCTCTAAGGAACTCCAAGTAAATAGGACTATGAAGCAATAAACAAAGAAAGAAGAGATCTCAATAGATATCCATGTCTTGATGGTTGCCAAAGTTTGAAGGTTAAAGAAAGATCTTCAATATGAGATAAGTTTTTTCCTTGGCTCTGTGCTCAGAGGGAAAAGTTATAAAGGCTACATTGATATGAATTTAGACCCACTAACACTGTCTACTAATGCCATGTTCATCATACATGAAGGGAACCTGATAAGGAATGAGGCTAAAGGAGAACAGAAGTGTATTCCAGCTAGTGGGCCAGATACTGAAAACAACCCTCAGACCATATGCAGTTAGCCCCTGGTGGTACAGATCATTTTATGGCTCCAACATAATCCAAACAAGGTTTAAGAGCCTCCAAATATTTCTCATCCTATCCAAGATCCAACAAATCCTGAAACCCACCAAGAGCCTGTAGAGGAGAGAGGAAAAGAGCATGCATTCTGCCTTGGGGCTGCAGAATTTATTTTTATGGTGGGGCTACAAGGAGCTAAGGTCAAAGCAGCTGCTGCCACAGGACACAGAAGAGGAAACTGAAGAAGAACTTGAGTCCTCACACAGGGAGTTTGACCCCACCACTACCTAAGCAGTGACTCTGTGGCTCCACAGCAGGCAGGGAGATAGATATGGGAACACAAGTGGTATCTATGCTGGAGGGATTTAACAAATGCCCAAGTCCATCCTTGAGGACCGAGGGGTTTGTGGCTCACATCAGGCTCCCTGACTCAGTGATGGCGAACCTTTTGAGCTCGGCGTGTCAGCATTTTGAAAAACCCTAACTTAACTCTGGTGCCGTGTTACATATAGAATTTTTTTGATATTTGCAGTCATAGTAAAACAAAGACTTATATTTTTGATATTTATTTTATATATTTAAATGCCATTTAACAAAGAAAAATCAACCAAAAAAATGAGTTCGCGTGTCACCTCTCACACGTGTGTCATAGGTTCGCCATCACTGCCCTAACTCTTGCTAGAGACCTGAGCTCAAAAAATGTCTGTCTTCAAAAACCAACAAAGCTTATGCCCAGGAGAACCATAGAGGTATAGGGAACAGGAGATTCCTCTCTTAAAGGGTTCCTGCACAGGACTTGAAGCACTGATAGTGTTTGCACTAGGACCCACTCAAAAGCAGAGGTTTGAGAATTGCCTAGGCAAGTGGTCGACAAACTCATTAGTCAACAGAGCCAAATATCAACAGTACAACAATTGAAATTTCTTTTGAGAGCAAAATTTTTTAAACTTAGACTATATAGGTAGGTACATTGTTATTAACTTAATTAGGGTACTCCTAAGGCTTAAGAAGAGCCATACTCAAGAGGCCAAAGAGCCGCATGTGGCTTGCGAGCCGCTGTTTGCCAACCACGGGTAGACCATGTGTGAAGGAGATCTCGTTCCTTTTGGAGGAGTGGAAGCCTGTTGGACTCGCCTGAGGCAGAGATGTGGGGGTGGGGGTGGCATTAGAGCTCCATCCTCTGTCTTGCCATTACAGGGCTCCATTTCCCTCTAACCTGTCAGTGCTCCTGAGTGTACATGCTGCATCCCCCTGCTGCTGCTGGGCTGCCAGAGCTGACAGGAGAGGGCCCATGCCTCATTCCCCCTGCAGGGCCACCACCCCTGAGAGCTAGAACTCTTGGGGGAGTTCATTAATGTGGTGCAGATTAAAACCTTGATGGAAGGAGGTGGGGTAGAAGACAGAAATCTGAATATAGAGGAATAGGAAGAGTTGCAATTTTCTGAGATTCCCAAGTATAAGGATGCCGAGAATAGGTTCACCTTTTTAATGATGGTTATTGACCAGGAGAGGTTTCAAGGATGTTGGCTAAACCCCTTATAGGACTTTCGCAATTTATGGAGACACCAGCTGCCGGGTCAATTTGTTTCAAAGAAGTCATTTGGGTGCATTCTATAGAAATTAAGCATTTTATATCACAGGTGAATTCATTTGTTATTGCAATCTTAATAAAAAATTTACATTCTTCTGTTTTGCGGGACCTGGAATAGCCCCTGAGCATTCAGTTAGTATACACCAGACATGGATCTTGTCTCCAGTATAAAAAACAGATATATCATCTCTGAGATGAGGGAGGAAAAGAAAGTACACATCAAAATCTAAGTAACACAGAGATCAAGGTACAAATTGCTCAAAGGTGAAATAAAGGTGGACTTTCTTTTGAAAAATTACTAACTCCTTTTCCTAGCTGCATGCAAAGGGAAAAGTGAGTAAAGAGTCATTATAATAACAGAAGAAGGGAATGTGTAAGATGATTCAGAACTGGTTCTAAAGCAACAGAGGACACCAGAGAGTCATAGGGTGCACTGAGGTAACTAGCCATGGCCCTCAGGAGAGAATAAATTCCCTCTTCTTGGACCTCTAAGAGGCAAGTGTCCACATGGGGACTGTTAGGTCAAAGGGAAGCCCAGGAGCGGATGCATGCCACCACAAGGCAGGTGGTGATGGAGATAATGGACCCTCCCTGATTTCCTAACAGGTCAACATGCCAGACAGATGGCGACACAGATACTGGTTCCTTCCTGGAATCTGTGACAACACAGGTGGCGGGAACTTCCTCAGCTCATGCCCCCCGCCCCTCACTAAACAGCTGTATAAAAGAAAGTGCCTCCCTCCCTGTTGGCACGAATTCACTGGCCCTGCCTTTGGGGCTCGTGGGTCTCACCTGGGAATGCAGATTAAACCTTCTCTTTTCCTCATTTCTGATTGACTCGACTCTCTTTGTTTTCCTGCGTCACGAACCTTACAGGGACTACAGAGATGGGCAGCAATCTGGTCATCCAGCCTCTCTCATTAGGCTGGCCAAAGGCTGGTCATTTATGTCAACGTAAAAAAAACATTGAAACCTGTAAAGAATTTTTTGGTGAGTTTATTTGAGCCAAACTGTTGACATATGCCTGGAAGCAGAACCTCAACAAATTGAGATATTGCTCCAGAGAATGGCAGGGTTACATTCGTATTTATACATTGCAATCAAAGGAGGAACATAGGTGGGTTACATGAAATTCATTGGTGACAGATTTAAGGAGGTGGGATTAAGCGAAGCGGGGAAACCTCTAGGATAGGATAAAAAGTAAAATGATGGACACATACTTAGGTGGGTGCAGGAACAATTAACATGATAAATGAAAGAATCTGCTGCATCTGTCCTGGGCCCAGCACACTTGGCTGTGCCCCAGGGGCTCCAGATAAAAAGGGAAGTTACAAGTTACCCAGACATTTCAAGGGTATGTTATCATAGATGCAAAAAGACAGATAAGCTCAGTTAAGGTAAAGGTTGACCTTGTCAGTGAAGATACTGGCCTAGGACGTAACTGCCCACCATAACTGCTTTTAGTTAAAGTTTAATTTCAGACCATCCTTTGTGGTTATTTTAGGTCTCTGAGTCCTGCTAGGCTGCCACACAGGCCTTCCCTGAGCTTGTCAGGTCAGCGTGTGGCCCCCTTCGTCCACATTTATCAGGAAGGTTGTGAAAGTGAGGAGGAAACTGGTCTTGCAAGGTGTGTCTGGACATAGAAACTGTGAGCAATGCACTGCCCTGAGCAGGGGAGGGTTGTTATGTTGGAGGGACCACAGGATGTGGCCTGACTCCTGGGGGCCTTCCTGCAGGGCCATGAAGGGGGCAGGGGGCATATCTGCAAGACAAAGATCCCAGCAGGATATATATAGACAGGCTCTCTGCATGTTTCTTCACTCTGATTTGGAAATTATTCCCTGAGACCACTAGTGAAAGGAGTCCCTCCCTTTCTCTAGGAAGCCTGCTTGGTATTTCTTTGCTCTTCTGTAACAAAAGCTTCCCAGAAGTTACCACGACAAGAGTAAAGGATCAGCATTCAGGGCAGGTGGGTCAGTTGTCATGTCCTGTATCAAAGGTAGCAAGAAAGCGCCCCTGAAGCAGCCTAAGAAACCAGCCAAGGAGATGGGTGAGGAAGATGAGGCTTTACAATAGCAAAAGAGGAGCAGACAGCAAAGGCCAAGGGGAAAGCCACCCTCCCTCCTCCCCCTTCCCCACTCCACTACAAAGATTAAAGGGGGGCAGAGTAAGAATGGTAGGAAT